GCACAGGACAGAGCGGAGTTTAGGGCTGTTGTACATAGGGTCGCTATGAGTCGCAGGCGACTCGACGGCACATAACAACAACAACAACATACTTTTGCTTTCGTTTCTCTCAAATTATAATTTTATGTGTGATTTCTACATCGGTTATGTAGGAGTGCGTTAATGAGTTACTATGTCTCTTATTTATCTAGTGCTTCTGTAAAAAAAAAAACAAAAAACACAACACCATAAGTGGCTGACCTCAACAAACAGATATTTATCCACTCATAGTTTTGGAGGGCAGAAGTCTTAATTTAGCCGCACAGCTCTAGAGCGAGGTTTTTTCACCCTTTGAAATCTTCTTTTTAGCCTTTTTACCATAGCTCTCCTTCTCCTGGTTTTCACTTCTTTTCATTCCAAGAGTTTCTGAGTCTCTTCTAACATCCATTTCGGCATTTCTTTTTCTTTCTCGTAATGACCTTTTGAGTCTATATGTTTATATTGTGCTATCTTCCTGAATGAGTCTCCCTTTCATCATTATAAGATTCCTTCTTTATCTTTAGTAACCATACTTATCTCAAATGCTTTGCTGAATATTTTTTTTTTTAATGAATTAATTTCTTTTCCCTTGTTGTGTGCCGTCGAATCAGATCTGACTGGCACAGGAGGAGATTTCCCCTCCTCCAGCAGAACATCTGGAGGCTTCGAAACAAACACCTTTGGGATTGTAATACTGCTTCTTGCCACTAGGCCACCAGAGCTCCCATAGAGTCTCCCCAGCTCTCTCTGTTCACCACTTCAATGGTGTCTTCCCCCCCCCCCCCCATCTTTTGTCTGTCTTTACCCTGTGCCTTGGAATAAAAAAGTATCTTCCATGTTGCCTAAATTATTTCATAATAATTTATTGGGCTGCTTGTTCTGCTTACTTGAAATGTAATTATCTGTTAGGATTTATGTGTCTTTCTCTTTGCTATTTGTTTTCAAAATGTTGTATTTTCCCCCAACCTTTTCTTTGTCCATCGTTAACTTCTTGTGTGTTAAATATGCATGTTCTGGTATACCATTTTAATCTCATTACTGACTCTTTAAGGTTCTTAGATGATATAAGTGGTTTTTTATTGGCTGCAAACCTGAAGGGTTGACTCTTAATTCATCCGGCAGCGTCACAGTAGAAAGGCCTGGTGATCGGTTTCCATAAAGACTACAAACAAGGACAGTTCTTCTCTTTAATCCAGACGTTGCCATGAGTAAGAATCTACTTGACAGCAATATGCTATTTGTTTTGTTTGTTTTAAAAACATAGTTTCTTTTACTATCCATCTGTGTGCTGTTTTCTTAGAGCTTGCCCCCAGCATTACAACTTCTAATCCTGAAGCTTTCAGCCCTTCAACTCTTCAGAGCAAATCTCCAGCTCCATGAGCCACATGTCTGAATTGACAAATGGAATGTAATGGTGGACTTGAGTAAGTCAGAGATGAAGACGATGGCACAGAATAGGACAGGGTTCGGATCTATTAGGGTCGCTATGAGTCGTGGTAAACTCCATGACACCTAATCATAACATGAACAAATTTACAATTATTTAAATCCCTTCCAAAGAATCTTGAAGGGAATCATATATGACAAATATAAAGAATAAATGTATTGCACAAGAAGGAAACTGCCTATCATTACCCCCCAGACACACCCCCCCGAGCAACTTTGAACTAGCTTTGAGTTGTATGCCTTTAGCATATGTAACTTCTTATTGCTAGGCCGTAGGATTTCATAGGCTCGACTCTAATCTATTATTTCTTTATCAGCCTTGCCACTAAGTGAATTCTTTTCTTTAGATTATTTTTCATAGAAATTCTCAGTGGACATTTCCCACGCGTGTTGGCCTTTCCCTGTTCTTTGTTTTGCTGTGGAAAGACGCTTTACTCTATTAGGTAGCCACCCCAAGGTATTTGCATGAGTGGCTTCAGTCTGGCCTTTGACGTTATCCTCCTGGACGATGACCGATTGCTCACTCGGGCATTTGTAGACACGTGGGCTCATTGAATCCTGTGCTATCTTTCCCAAATCAAATCTGTAAAGTTCACTTGCAATGTAATGTATTGTTTCTGAGTCATGTTGACATTTTGACTTCGTAAGTGTAAACTGAAGACTACATTTACTGGAAATTTGTTTTAAAAATAAAACAACATAGGCCAGATCCCTGATTTACTGATGCTTTATAAAATTAAGCCATGCTGATGAGGTAATGCAGCTGAATGAACATTTTTCTTTTTTTTTCCTCCCAAAAAGAAATTGAACTCTAATGTTTCTAAAGTCATAAGATAATAAGACTGCGTCCTTTAGGAACAGAATATAGAAGAAAAGGTGTAAATGACTATGATACAATCAAGACATGGATTTTTTTTTCTAAGCATTGCTGGAAGACTGGAAGGGAAACTTGCCTTTACTAAATCTGTTACGTCTGCACAGAGGGAAGCCCTTTTACATAGTGGGCTTGTATGCATTAATAGAGCTTTGGGGTATTTAATAAGTAACATTGCATTTTGTAGTTGCATTGAAAGTGGAAATTTCCCTAAAGCACAATTTTTAGGCATGATTGAAAGAGTCTAATGTTGGCTGTTGTTACCAGATGAGATCGTAGTACGATCAATTTTACCACTTTCTTCATATTGATCATTTAGCTCTGTTCACAGAGAGAGGATGAGACACTTCACACATGCTCCCTTACACACTCCAGATGAAGTATGATTTTTCTACCACCCATTGGAACAGATGGATTGACAAGGTGACTTTTATACCATTTTCTTCAGTTTATTCTAAATTATCTATAAAGTTTTATAATGCTTCAAAATAGAACTCAGAATTGAGTATCCCATTCATTGTCTGCATTCTTTCCTTTTTACCCCCTTCTTCTCCTTTCTTTCTTCTCTGTATTTATAAAATATTTCTCTAGGAGCTTTTTTAATAATACAACAGAAACAAGGAATAGATATAGCTCAAAGAAGTCAAGTGGAGCCTATAATAAGGTTAGACCAGGAAAGCAGAGTCTTATATCTTATACACTTACCAACTAAGGGCAAAGAATTTGGCTCTGAAATGTCTAGCAATGAACTTAAAGACAAAAATATTATCAGATATATCATCCTCAATGGCTACAAAATAAAGACGAATTATATATCCAGAAGCACAGTGATCTCTGATTTATGTCTTAACAGTCACTCACTTGAAATATTTCATAAAGATGATCCTGTATGATATCACAGCCAAACTTCTACAGAGTATTCCTAGGAGAGCTACAGAGTAAGGCTGCATGAGTGTGCTTCCCACACAGCTGCCATCATGACCAAAACATAATCACTACAAGTAATCCTATCATCTTTGTACTGTTGTTGTTGTGTGCTGTCAAATAAAATATAATTCATAGCAATTATATGAACAGCCACCCTGAGACTTGCCCCTTCCTATACATTGCCCCAGTCTCTGAGATATTAGAAGCCGTTGCTGAAGTCACAGTGTCTACGGGGTGTTCTCTTTGCTGACCCTCCATCTTTCCAAGCATGATGTCCCTTTCCAAGACAGGAGTAGTCTCACCTAACTACATCTCCAAAATATAAAAGACAAAACATCGCAGTCTTTGCCTCCAAGGAACACCCTGGCCGCACTCATTCCAGGACTAAGCTGATTGTTCTTTTAGCAGTTCATGAGGTGTTCAGTGCTCTCCTCCAGCACCAAAACTCAATGGCATCAATTCTTCTGTTATCCTTGTTCATTGTTCATGTCTCTGATATATATAGCAGGTGATTGAAAAGACCATGGCCTGAAACAAATGCTCCTTAGTCCTCAAACTGACATCATTGCTCTTTGGTATTTTGGAGAAGTTGAAGAGCAGACTTGTCCAATGCAAGGCATGTCCTGATTTCCTGAATGCTGGTACCATGGGTGTTGATTGTTGACTCAAACAAGACAAAGTCATTAACAATTTCAATCTTTCCATAATCTATCATAACATTGATTGTTGGTCCTGTGGTGAGGATCTTTGTCTACTTGGTGTTGAAATATAATCTATACCAAAATAGAC